ATCTATTGGGAAACGCAAGAGACTGTTTCTCTCGGTATTTCTTTAGCTGTTTCTTGAACGATGAGGATGTATTCAGCGAACTATCCGTCTGGTCAATGGCTATGTTAACCCCATCAGCTACAGTGAAATTTTCAAAACCTGACAGAAAGTCGTCTGACTGGCTCCCAAGGGTGTTATCAATACAGTGAGCCTCTGGTGTTATGCTGGCTTCATCAATTGTAGTGAAATTTTTAATGCATAACGGAAGGTCATCTGGCTGATCGTCCAAATTAAATACACCAGAGAAACTTGAGCTCCCAAGGGGATTATCAATGCTATGGACTATTGATGTTATGCTTGTTTCATCAATTATAGCGTGATTTTTCATTTGCATAATCGATTGTCTGAAAGATTCATTCATCGCCTCACTTGACTTAAGTCTATTTTCAAGAGAGACAATGGTGTTATTTAATTCGTTTACTTCTTTATTTCTTCCTCGGATTAAAATTGATATATCAGCTTCAAGGTTTTTACATTTTTCCCTTTCATTAGATAGTTCCTTTTGAAGTTGGTTAATTTCTTCGCTCTCCCGCGACTTTTCGATTGCAAAAATCCTAGACTCCATATTTCTTTGCATGATCACCATATCAAGCTTAACCTCTTCAAGGTCTGCTGCCAGCAGCCTACATTGACAACCGTGCTCGAAATCATGCACTACATTACAAGGGAGTGAATTTGATCTGACCTTAAGCTTTTCTGAATGTACATCACTCTTGAAAGACTGATTAGGTATTTCTGTAGTCATATCAACAATCGAGTCAGCAGTAACCGCGTTAGTATTGTTGTTATGCCTTTGCTCTTTAACACTACTTATTGTCGGCATACAAATATTATCCGATAATTCGCCACCCTCAACTGCATTCGGTTTCGCCGTAAACTCATTTGATGTAGTTGGTGCCCCACACACTGTAATCAACGTATTTGCTAGAGCCAAACTTGCATCGCCGTGAAGCACAAGTGTATTTTGTTTTTTGGCATACCAAGTAATAGTTAAGTCCGAATTGAGGCACGTAAACTTTTTTGCATTACCACCCGGCGACGACCAATTGCCATATAATTTAAGACCACATTCAACGAAACTTTGCAGCATGTCAAAGCTTCCAGACCACTTTATACGCTTTCTATCATACGTTAGGTTTGAGCAATCTTTATGATTGTATATTTGCTCAAACTTCCATTCATTTAGATTATTTTTATAACAATTTACAGAGCTCAGATTAGTACGACCGCCCGCCATCTTGGAGTGATGCTGTCGTCTTGCTGAGTATTTAGGCATTACAGTATTCAATAGTACTTCATTGTAGAATAGTCCCAATCGAAAACAATAGTTAAACTTGAAAGGAGAAAATCTCCCATAAAACTTGTTGAATATAACAATCCACGTGCAAATAGTTTAAAGCGAAAACTCCTCATGGGCTACATGACAGGGGGGCATATGAAGCAGAGTTTATCTAGTAAAACAATACAAACGCTGTCTTACCTTGTTAATCGTAACATATTTCATTGTAGAATTCCCATCTGTGAGTAGAAATGCATATTTTACAATTTATAGTCTGTTGAAATTGTCGTAAAACCATTCAAATCATATAAAGTTTAAAACATTGTTTGATTTTTATTCGTACTTCATGTAACATGAATATACTCCGCTGTTCTAGATCATTGTGGGCTCACATTTCGCTAAACTTCATGCAATACAAATTATAGAGGTTTTACTGCACATCGAAGCATTGCATGTTAAAACATTGCAAATTGTATTGGATTTTTTAAAATAAAAGAGCTTTTCGGGAGGCCTATGGGTACAGGATTATATTAATGTTCTTTATTGTTGAAATTCATATTTTGGTTTCATATTCGATTATTTTGATGAATAAATATGCATTTTTATTCGCACATGGGGTCCTGGGGTGGGGGGGGGAGTGAATATTTTCACGAGATGTTTCTTCAATATATTATATTTATTGAATTTTTATGATTGATGATAAAACAAAAAATATTTGCGTAATTGTATCATCAAAATTCAAATATAAAAATACAGAAATGTGTAAAAGAAAAAGTGTAAAAATAAAACTGTGCGGAAACAATACCAGTGAGCACCAAACATTTTGCACAAATGCGAAACACAATGAAAATATCCAAATTTTCAGTGCTACTTTAATTAATTAAGTATTATGTAATTTAATTAAGCATTATGGCTAATGAATATTATGCCCTACACAGACAAGTTTAAGTTGCTGAGCAAGTATACTTTGTCTGCACGACTTAATGGAGGATGTCCCAGCTGAAGATTAATCAAGGTACTCGAGAAATTCGGTAGTCTGCATTTGATGCATCCTTCATTCGCATGAAAATAAGCATTGCTCATCTTCATGCGAGATACGCCTCCAACGAAATGTTGGCGTGGCATCATGCCAACAACAACTAGATCTTCCGGTGCATCGGGAATGCGCTGTTGATACTTCAAAAGACCAGAGCAGCCAAAGCATTTCTCAACATTCGGGTGGCAGTACTGCAACGATGTAAGTACGTACTACCCAACTGTAGGCGTTGGAAAAGGTACATGTATGTCTGGTCGACGTATGGGATGCTGTGGTGAAGCAGTTCCTACTAGGGTCCCTGTGCTTGAGAAGGCCGTAAGTTATGCTGTGGTGCAGCAGTTTCTATCAAGGTGCCAAGTGATACTGCCTGTGTTTGAGAAGGCCGTAAGTTATGCTGTGGTGCAGCAGTTCCTTTCAAGGTGCCAAGTGACGCTGCCTGTGTTTGAGAAGGCCGTAAGTTATGCTGTGGTGCCGCAGTTTCTATCAAGGTGCCAAGTGATGCTGCCTGTGTTTGAGAAGGCCGTAAGTTATGCTGTGGTGCAGCAGTTCCTATCAAGGTGCCAAGTGATGCTGCCTGTGTTTGGACAGTGTTTGCTTCGCAATGTCAAAACATCTTTACAACACTGTCCGTAGTATGTGTCTTTTGATGAAGCAGTTTATCATGTTCATTTACATGAAGCACATTCATCAATACCCATATAATATGAAGGCAAATGTCACTGCCTCGAGCAAAAGAGCAATTACACGAAACTGTTTCGGATATTTCCGCGAGACGAATTTTGCCTGCGTCGTTCAGTTCAAAAATTTTCTTCGTTGCGCTCACGTCGTGAGTCCCAACAAGTGTAATTTTGGCACGTTTGGCCATCTTTAGGGACTCCTCGAATTTCTTGCTCCTAGTTGGCCTCACACGATGGGCTTTTTTCGCATTTCTGTGCTTAACTGGCAATTCGTCGTCAGATGAGCTGCACAGATCTGCATTTCTGGCTCGATGCCTAGAACGTTCACTCATGAACGGACCAGCATCGTAGTGACTTGTGTCAATCGAGCCACTCCTAACCTCATTTGCAAACTGAATGGCTCTATCGAGCTGTCGCCGTAAAGATAGCTGGTCCTTCTTCTTTTGGTCGGGACACCGCCCACCTTGGTATGTGCCATTAAGAAAGCTAAAGAATTGCAAAAAGTAGAGTGTATAGAGATTACTTCATGGTTGGTGAGCGAATACGATCTTTATTCACGAGTGGATAATTATTACAAGTGAACGAGTGAGCGCAGCGAACAAGTGAGCTTGTAATAATTCACGAGTGAATAAAAATCTTATTCGCGAACCAACCATGATGTTATTTGTTTATTATATAAGTACTGAGATTTCATTCACGATGACAAAGTTTTAATGTTATTAATTTCTATGACTATGTATTTAAAGTTTTCAAAGTTTTTAATGTCTTCTTACTAATGCTAAGCCGGGTAGTTTTTTTCTTAAGATGTCGCTCGAAGATTGCTAATAGACTTCGGAGAGAAGATGGCTCATATATTCTTTCCTGTCTTTGGTTCTGACCAAATTGATAAACTCAGACACGTACTCGTTCAGTTCTGATGTCAGAATTTGTCAGAATATCTTCCATTTTTCTTTCTTCATTCTTGGTTTCCAAAAACAAGTGTAATAAAGTAATAGCTTTATATCTCGTTCGGTTTTTTGTGAGGTACTAGCCTTATTTTGTTGTTCTGGAATAAAATTGTCAACAGAAACGGCGTCCGTAAATCACGCAGCCATTTTGATTTTCAAGTTGAAATAGGTTTCGCGCCAAAAAGTTTGTGGTGGAAAACGAACATACATCGTTCGCGTCGCTGATTGGCTGTGGCAAAATTCCGTACGATTATTACGCAATGACAATTTATTGAATAAATCTCAGTACTTATATAATAATTTTTTTATTGGATAATGTCGACTGTTCTTCTTAGATACACATACTTTCCCAATTCAAAATTCTTCGTATCAGAATTCACAAAGCATTGGTGTTAGCCATTGAACTATAAATAAACTGGACGGCTGTCAGGGGGGTGGAAGGCAGTGAAGTTTTTCTGAGTTATGAGCAGAAATACTCAACACTGAACGTATATCAAATTGAAGCCATTGAAAAACGCTATTTGGTGTAGAAATTTCAAAACTTTAGCTAAAAAGGAAATATTAAAAAACTACCAAAATAATTGCCGATAATTTGCCAAATTTACACACCGAATAGCAATTTTCAATAGCTTCAATTTGATATATAACGTTTGGGATCAAGTATTTCTGCTCATAGCTCAGAAAAACTATTTTGGCTTCATCAAATCATAGGACTTCATCATAGCAGTTAGCCTTCCAGTTTATTTATAGTTCAATGGTGTTAACTAGCAATTTATCACTTTAAGCAAGTTCGTTAGCTCCATCTGATTACGTGGTAAATTTACTGTACCTTTCGAGTTTCGCTTTAAGTATGGCACTTTCAACCACATGGTCTTCAGCCACTCGAGCTAGGGTGTCATTCTTAGCCCCTCTTGTTGCATTCCTTGAATGGCCAACCTCTGTCATGTTTGTATTTGGTGCATGAGATGACTTGAATGATCGGAAAACATGAAACCTGCGGAATACGAATGCAATGTTCTTAAATCCATTAAACTTGTGTAACAAGAATATCTTACTGAGCATGGCTTGACTAATTACATCTTAAATTTGTTTCACAAGTGGAGAGGACAAGTGTGGCAGAGAGGTAAAAGTTCACATGCACACGACGTGCACACCATATGAAGTCGCTGATGACTACACACGTAAAAATCTCACATCTTTTAACAAGTTTGTCAACAAGCCGTCAGTCAACAAGTTGTCTTCGCACTTCCTATCACAAGTTGTCAACAGTTTGAAAACAACTTGTAACGGCCTTTCCGAAATTATCAGACTTGTTACAAGGTTGTTCTGACAAGTCTGTTACATGCTGTAACAAGATGGGAACATAACTTGTTGACATCCTGCGAACAGACTTGCAACAACTTGTTTGCAGACTTGTTACAAGCTGTGCATTTTACACATGTACATACACAAGATAACATTAACGATATTAACTAAATATTGGAAAATATTGCAATATTTCCTGTTTTCTTGAAAATACTGCAATATTTTCTTTTCTTAGAATTACAAAATAAAGCGTTCCGCTAAAGCTGAGTAGCCAGGCGATGTGACGTATTTTCTAAATTTGTGTTACTTTTAGTATTTACCAGAAAAACTGTTGGGTCGTTCGCATGTAAACGTTATCTATATTACAGTACAAAATAGAGGTGTGCAAATCCGATCCGATCGGATTCGTGCGGATTTCGGAACCAAAATATTCAATCCAAAATATTCATTCGGATTGATAAAGTTGTTTCGTAGTCGGATCGGATCGGACTTCGATATCCGAAATAAAATGAATTAATTATCCACGCATCAAAGCATCATCGCGGTTGTCGCTGAAGTATTCGTTTGGTACTTCAATTGGACGTCACTTTGTCAGCTTCTTGACATGTATTTCTTGCTTTTGTATTTATTTGGTTAAATATTTCAACTTGAATGAGAAATTCATTTTATTAAAGAATTCTTCGGATCGGATCGGAATTATTTTTCAAAACTCGGATCGGATTAGACAATTTCGGATCGGATTTTAAATATCAGGCAATTGTCGGATTATAAACGTTCAATCTGATATCCGATGTACACCTCTAGTACACAATAACCCGGAACATGAACAAGAACTCTAACACACCTTCTGACGTGCCAAAAGTTATTAAACCATGCTTTCACATGAGCTCTCTTGGGTTTATCCGCAGCCCATTCGAACAGAGCACGACGCTTTGCCTCATAGGAACCAGGAGTTTCAGCCGTGTAAATCCCGTGAATCATAGTAATGAATTTCTTTCTGGACTGAGTGCTCCACGTTGCTTTCGTTACCTTGTGAGCGCAGCCATAGAAGTGCATCTCACAAGATTTTGTGCGTTCCACCATCCCCTCGTTTAACTCTCGTCTCACACTTTCCCGATTGCCTCCATGTTCGTCCGTAACAATGCCTTCAGGGTCAAATATATAATTTGCCTCACCAGTGTACTCTCTGAGGGCCTATAAACAGCAACGGATATGAAAAAAAAATCTTCATTTTTTAAAGCCACACAGCATAGTTGCAGGAGGGAAATTAGCCCCTTTTAATTCGGGGGGTGTCTGCCAGAATTTCCCTCCAAAACTGATCATGCCCTGCAGCAAATTTTTATTTCTGAGAAGGTGGGGGGTGGAGGGGGTGGAAAAAAATTTCCGGTATCAAAAAGGTGCCACACTCCCCCATACCGCCCCTGCAGAGTTGTCACGTAATATGTTTGTGCAACAAAAAGGTTTTAACATACTTACAGAATTTAGTTGCTTCCAAAACTCAGAGAGTGTCTCAGTGGACTCTGTAAGGCAATCCATACTCGCAATCGTGACCATCTCCTTCAACAGCGGGTGCTGAACCGACAAATTAATAGTTTTGAGACCTTTCACTTTGTCATGTTCTGCATCCAAAAAACAGAATTCGTTTGCTAAAGGATGCGTGCTTCCATTTCGCTGCATCTGGTTCGCAATCTCCAATCGTTCCTCGCTGCTCCGGAACACGGCAGTGATATCAGCAACCCGACCATCCTTTACACTCCACAGGAGGTATTTATCTTTAAGGTCAGTTGACTCTTTGATTGTCGCTAAAGCCTCAAATGAGTGCCCTACGGGGTTTTCCTGTTCTACAACTTTTTGTTTTATGTTCTGAATCTTCTTCAGATTTGCCATGCCCTTTGCCTCCTTATACACATCTTCCACGGACTTTCCTTCTTTCAAAAGCCCGCGCAAATGTTGATATGGAAATTGGGATGGTTTGGCGGCGGTATTGTTGCGGAAAAATGTTGTAGCAGCTTCTCTAATGTCAGGGTCTCGCTCTTTTACACTGCAGTTATGCTCTCCACAGTGAAACACAGTAACTTTGTCTTGGCCGAATTCCCAGACTTTTTTTGCATTGCACATTACACCTTTGGCTTCGTACCCGCAACAGTTACACACAACCTCGTCCTCTGCCCTCCTTTTAAATTGAACATCGTTTTGTTTGCCATATGAGTGAAGGTAG